GCTGCCCATCGTACAAGCTGAATGAAAACCATCATTATAACAGAACTGGACAGTGATCTCAAATTCTTTATGAGCTTTCATAGGGATTTGCAAGACCCCAAATTATAAGTTAGCCTATCCACATTAATTTTATAACTTTATAGCTTACTCTTACTGTATGCCAAAATCAATGTTTGTAAATACATTTGTTTCTATTTAATTTTCTATAAGGACATATGGAAGCATGTTTCTGCCACAGGATAAAACAATTAAAAAGGTAATCTCACAATAAGGCTTTTCCCCCACAACTCTGAGTTTATATCTCACAATTCTGACTTTTTTCTGGCAAATTCTGAGAAAAAACGAGAGATATAAACTCAGAATTGTGATAACACACATTTCTGAGAAGAAAAGCCTGAACTGTGAGATATAAACTCACAATTGCATGAGGAAAAAGTAAGAGTTGTGAGAGAAAAAAGTTGCAATTACCTTTTTTATTCCATGGAGGAAACAAAGAATTGTGAGACAGAATTCTCTGAATTAACTCAGAAAAGGAAAGAAGAAAAAGAAATAAACTCAGAATTCTAAAAGTCAGAATTGTGAGATATAAACTCGGAATTATGAGGAAAAAAAGGAAGAATTGTGAGATAAAAAGTTTCACATGGTGAACAGAAGACGACTCATTATTTTGAGCAGCGTATATTGTTCTTGAGGATGTCGATATCGAATCACACGAGATCTGGATATGAGCTCCATTTCTTGACCTCCACTGAACACATACACACAAAGCATTAAACAATATATTGTATGCAGACAATACGCCTATAAAAAACTGAATTGCCATAGTACAATTTTATAAAAATTTACATTAAAATTTATGCACTGACCATTATTCCAGAGGTTTTGAAGGATCAAGACTTGTTTATGTTGGATTAGCATGCAAATGATAATAATTTTTTAATTAATATTTTAAAATTGCAATGTATTCCTGTGGTGCAAATCTTAATTGTCAGCATCATTACTCCAGTCTTCAGTGTCACATGATCCTTCAGAAATCATTCTAATCTGCTGATTTGCTGCTCAAGAAACATTTATTACTATTATCAAAGTTGAAAACAGTTATCCTGCTTAATATTTCTGTGGAAACCGTGATACATTTTTTGTAGAGATTTCAACAGCATTTATGTATAACATTACATGTTGTAATATGTTTTACATAACATGTTTTATAGCATTGTAAATGTCTTTAATGTTATTTTCTTTTAATCAATTTAATGCTTTCTTGCTGAATAAACGTATAGTCTACTCTTAAAAAAATAGTTATACAGATAATAATTTATTATTTTATACAGATAATAAACAAATAAACCAGGTTAACAGATGTATTGTTTAATACTGGTAAATTTGAATAATTAACATTTGAATAATGAATCAAAATAATGATTTGCTTCTCTTTTGGTCAATGTAAGTGGAAGGAAGCACGAATGCAGCTTGGAAAGGACAATGCACACTCTGTCTACCAAGCTTGTAACCCGGAATTGAATAAGGATCCCAAAACATTATGGACCAACTGGATCCCTAAACAAGATGCCCAAGAGCTTCTACTGGACCTACGTTTTGCCCAAGAGGACCAGGAGCCTCTTTATATCTATGTGCGAGAATCGAACCACCCTCACAATCAGTACTTTAGAAGACCACAAAGAGCTCTTCTCATGATCACAGTCCAGCATCCATTTCCTATAGATGCTGTTCCCCAGGATGAGCACCTGACCTTAAATTGGGAAAGATCTCTCAGAAGGCCTTTTACCTGGGATTTTCCTACAGCGGCAAGTGCACGTTCATTGCTTCGATCCAGGTGTTCTTCCTGAAATGTCCAACATTTGTATGGAACCAAATGGAATTTGAGGAAACAGCAGCAGGAGGGTTGGGGAGAGGAGTGTGTGTGAACGGTTCTGTGGAGATCAGCACCCCAGAGACAGAGGCATTTTAAATTGCACCCTTGATAAAGAAAAATGCTTGCTTGATTTTCAAGAACTTTAACATTGCTTATTGTTGTACCTATAACTAGCATTAAGTGGTGTTTAAGACAAACATCACTGTTGTTCTTACTACAAACTGGTACCTTTTGTACCAATAATATAATATAATATAATATATAATATAATATGATAAACACTTGGTGCATCTTAGCAACCGCATAGCAATGCCCTGGCATCATAGAGAGGATTTTTGCACAGAAAAGCTCCACTACAAAAAATGTATCACGGTTTCCACAGAAATATTAAGCAGGATAACTGTTTTCAACTTTGATAATAGTAATAAATGTTTCTTGAGCAGCAAATCAGCAGATTAGAATGATTTCTGAAGGATCATGTGACACTGAAGACTGGAGTAATGATGCTGACAATTAAGATTTGCATCACAGGAATACATTGCAATTTTAAAATATTAATAAAAAAATTAAATAAAAACATAAATAGAAACAAAATATAGGATTTTTCCCCCGGTTTTTCAAGCACTGTTTTACCGAACTCTTATAAGAGACTTTCTTCAAAAACATTTGAACAATAGTGTATTTATATAAAATAAACAATTAATAATAAAAATGTAATTATGAACACTGCTAATTCTGGGAAATGGATCAATGAATTAACGATTTTTTTTTAAAGAAAATATCTAGCCTATTATTAAACATAATAAACTTTAGGTAACAGACTTTCTTTGTTAAAGTCATTGTTTGTATTCATGTGGAACACAAAGACTTTAATTTGTGATTATTATATTAAAGAAACTGCCACTTAACAGCTTTTGATGCTGAGAATGTTCATTGTAGGCTGCGCTGTTTACTTGAATCAAAGATTTCTTCTGAAATTAAACGCTCAGTCTCACGTCCTCAGTCTTACCTCTGATTGGTGTTAGCTGTGCGGACATATCAGCGGAGACAATACATGAACATATAATCTTTAGCCTTTATTATTAGATAAAAATGTTTTACAACAATTTATAAAAAATTACTCTGTGAAGTTTCTATATAAACACTTATATGAAAATGTATTTTAATAAAACAAACAAAAAATGTTTCATACTTAAACACCCTTCAGTATACTCCCTACAACTCCCTTGTTGGTAGACCTAGAGAGAGATGATTATGTTTGAATATGTGTGTGTGCATCTGAATTTATGCTTGTTTTAACATAAGATTCATGCCATGGTGAACCATTGTATTTTGTTGGGAGATCTTGCCCTTGATCTTCTGCTCTGCTAAATCTGCACTTTCTATTACTGGAGTCCAGTGACGTTGGAACCCTTTGCACATAAGTGTTGGGCAAGTTACTTCCAAAATGTAATACATTATATATTACTAGTTACTGTCTTTTGAAAGCAATTAGTT